TCCATCTATCTATCTATCTATCTATCTATCTATCTATCTATCTATCTATCTATCTATCTATCTATCAATCATCACTGAAAGTATTTCACTCAAATATAATTACCCACTATTACACAAAGTATTGAAACCTTGAAATATTATTTTGAAAATCATTTTTAAAATAAGGTAAAGCAGTATACATAAAATATATCTTTTTTGTGTCACTTCAGTAGAAAACGAAACTAAATATTAGTTTATTTAGTTTATTTATTTCTTCATCATCAGTGACTTTTTTTAAGTGAAGAGAAAATAGAGAAAGAGAGAAAAACAGAGAGAGAAGTAATTAGAAAGATTGAAAGATTGAAATAGCGATTAGAGGTATATTAAATATACACCAACAAAACACAGGACCACACACCCAACATCTGTCCGCTCGCCTGAAAAATAAATGGATAAATACATGGAGGGCACATATAAATATAGACACATACCCTTACATATATAAAGATACACATATATACATGCCTAAATTCATAAATATTGTCCGTATATACACATAGACATATATACACACTCAGTGACCAGTCAGAACTCCCCGGATCAGAACACCTGTCTGTGAGCTGTTGTGAACATGCGTGTATATACAAGATTTCTCCAATGAAATAGTTAATAGTGACTGTGGAGGACCGGAGACCCAACCCCCAAGACACGAGGCAGACATAGGGAAGACCAGAGCCCAAGGGCCCGAGAGGGTTCCCGAGTGCAGAGCCCCAAGGGGCACCCACACAGGAAGATCCGCCCACCCACCCCCCAGATCAGACCATATAGAACTGGGAGAGTCCCCCCAGCGACTACACGCACAGCCCCCGGGGCCAGCAGCGACAAACTCATGGGCCCCACCGGCACCCGCCATACCAGATCCAAGAAAGGGCACAGAGGTCCGGGCCCCCAGGGCGCACCCCATGCAGGCCAAAGCCCGACAGGCCCAGAGGCCCCGAGCCCCAGCAGGCAGTCACCAGGCCAGGCCAGCACACACCCCAGCGCTCAGCCCCAGACCCCGGGAACCCCCAGCACACCGGCGGCCAGCCGCACACCCCACCGGGGGGCCGAG